CACCGAGGCTGGGTGACTTCTGGTTGGCTGGCCATCACACACATACCGGCAGAGTCCTGACTCGACGGGGAGAGGGCCATCGGAGGCCCCACTTGTGCATCTCCTGGACCCTGTGCTACACACATCTACCCTTGACCGACTTTAGTCTGTGCCTTTTCCTTGAATTAAACCACAACCGTGAGTATACAATTCTCAGTGAGGCCTTCTGGGACTCACTGTCAGACTCGATGAGGTTTGCAGGTCCCTGAAGTGGCAGAAGTGAGGGGACTGTGCCCTCTGACCTCCTGGTTGTCTAAGCCCTTAGCATCTGGGTAAGGTTTTGGAAAACTAAGTCAAATTGAATCACTTCTCTGCTCTAAACCCTCAACGGTCTCCCATGTCACCCAATGTCCTCTCAGAGGCCCCATCACAAGTCTGTGCCACTCCCTTGCCGACAGGTCCTCTTTGAGGCCATCACCACCCCTCCCCCTCTCTCTGCTCCAGCCCTGGGGCCTTCCTGCTGCTCACTGACCACACTGAGCAAGGTCCTACCTCAGGACCTCTGCATCCAATTCCTCTGCTCTCCCCCCAGACATCCCAACGGCCCACCCTCAGCTCTGCCGACGTCCCTGTCTGTGAAGCCTGCCTAGCAACCCTGAGTAGACCCCTTCTCCTGTCCTTTCTCCAAAGACCCCTAACCTCACATTCACTTGTCTTGTTTACTGTTCTCTCTCCATGAGTTCTGCTCACTGTCGAGCTCACAGCACTTAGAGCAGAGCACACAGGGGGCACTCAGGGAATACTTGTGGATGGCGAGCCAGTGAACGAACGGTGCCTGCCCCTGCCCCTCACAAAGCACCGAGAGGGAGGGAGATCACACCTGAAGACGGGTCATCGCCTTTGGTCCACCTGAACCCAGGCAGGCCAGCAGACATGAACACACTCAGCTGGGAGACAAGAACAAGGCAGAACGAGAGTGACAGGTTCTAGACCCCAGTGCTTAGGAGGGAGACAGCATTTGACTTGCTACGGATGGGCTCAAAGTTCTCATAAATTCAGAGAGCCTGCCTTGTGAAACCTGGGAAAGGAAAATTGGGTGAATGCCTGGAATTGAAAGTTACTGTGGGAAACGTAACTCAGGGTCAACAAGGGAAGAAGAGTGGAACTGACAGAAGTCAGGGGATGGTCAGGGATGCAACCCTGGGAACCTGCTGCTACAGACAGGCTTTACCCAAATTAAAGCAAAAGGCCCTTTGAGCTTCAACAATAGATAAACTAGATGTTTTGGTGGATGGACCTAGAGTCTGTCATAGAGAGTGAAGTCAGTCAGAAAGAGAAAAACAAATACCGTATGCTAACACATATATATGTATACATGGAATCTAAAAAAAAAAAAGTTCTGAAGAACTTAGGGGCAGGACAGGAATAAAGACATTAATGTAGAGAATGGACTTGAGGACACAGGGAGGGGGAAGGGTAAGCTGTGACAAAGTGAGAGAGTGGCATGGACATATATACACTACCAAACGTAAAACAGATAGCTAGTGGGAAGCAGCCGCATAGCACAGGGAGATGGGAGGGAGGGAGACACAAGAGGGAAGAGATATGGGGACATATGTATATGCATAACTGATTCCCTTTGTTATAAAGCAGAAACTAACACACCATTGTAAAGCAATTATACTCCAATAAAGATGTAAAAAGAAAAAGAGTCAATTCATGCAAAAAAACCAGATGTGATAGAGAATGGTAGAACTTTTTTTGTGTGTGTGTGGTTCGCGGGCCTCTCACCGCTGTGGCCTCTCCCATTGCGGAGCACAGCCTCCGGACGCACAGGCTCAGGGGCCACGGCTCACGGGCCCAGCTGCTCCGTGGCATGTGGGATCTTCCCGGACTGGGGCACGAACCCGTGTCCCCTGCATCGGCAGGCGGACTCCCAACCACTGCGCCACCAGGGAAGCCCCAGAACTTTTAAACTAATACAGCTTTCTATAATCACAAGAAAGAAGCATTGGATTCCTTTTAAGTTTTTTTTAAAGTTGCTAAAGTGAACCACCCAATGAAAAATTCTTGACTCAATTTTTATTCCCTGCAAATATGCAAATTAGCCAGTTTCATCACTAACTTCATCTTGAAAAAAATCCATTAGAGCAAGAAAAAGGTGGTTCCTCACATGTAATTGAGATTTTTCTGGCAAAATACAAGATCATTTTCTTGACCTCAAAATCCATTCTGTTCTGCTAAACAAGTCTGAAAGGCTCCCAGCTCCATTTCCTAGGACACCAGAAGTCTCCATGTACTTCCCTACTTGCCTTCCACCTCGAGAGACAGAGAATGCCTTTCAGTGTCTCCAAACGTCTTGACTCTGTTCCCACAGCACAGGAATGTGCACAGCTGCAGTTAAAGGAAGGGGTATTACCTCATGGAACGTCTCAAAGCTTGTGAGTGGCAAAAAGCAGGTTGTGAGATAACACAAGTTCCTTCCCCGTTCCCACGACCCCTTACAGCTGTATCGCGTCAAGTTGGAGGGGTCACCCTGCCCACTTCTCTGTCTGAAGAAAAGGAATATTTCTCTGGGTACGTGGACGTCCTCTGACAGGTAGAGAACGATGCCACGTCGGGCCTCCTGCGTGTTTGGCCCAGAGATGACCTTCTGGGATGAAAGGGGTATTGTCGCTGCTGAGCAGCTGGAGGGGCTGAGAGCAGGGAGACGCTGAAAGGGCCAGTGTTTGCCAACCCACCAATGACCCAAGGGCAGCTGAAGCAGGAAAACCAGTGACAACACATCAGTATGTGAGGGGTGACTCCCAGGAAGGAGATTTGGGTCAAAAAGCTACAGGGTGACATCACTGCACAGCAGGGCTTGACACAGAGCATTTACTTATGTTGAATCCAACTGAATGCCCACCATTCAAGAACCACTTGCTGAGGGTGTAAATTGTAGAAAGCAATCCATGGGGTAAGGGGACAATCTTCCAAGGGGCTGAGCGCGGACTCGAGTCGAGTTGGGGCAAAAGAAAGAGGAAGGACAGGCTCGCTGTGACCGGCACACGCCGAGTGCGACTTGGCTTGAATCCGCCTTCTCGAGACGCTCTGCGGCTGCACGTGTGACGGGTGTGCTGTGTGAACGTGCTGAGATGCATTCCCGTCTCATTTTCTGTTCTCACGTTGCCATTTCCACCAGAACAAGGAGATGCTGGCACTCCGCATCCTGCTCTGGAAGCGGAGCAGCAGGACGACGGGAGCTTGCTCCAGGCTTTTTTTCCGTGTTACCTGACCCTGCCCTACACGTCACACTGTCATGAGTCATGTCTTCACCTGGCGCCCTGGTGGTGCACTGTCCCCCGAGGGGCCTCCTGTGTGTCTCCCCGCCAGCATCCATGCTGGGGGGACAAGGCCAAGCTCTGAGGGGTTCTCTCTGTGCCACCTTCACCTGCAGGAAGATGACCTCATCAACCCAGGCAGGGCCGTGTCCCTCTTCTCTGAGTTTCACAGGTCACTCACAAGGGACATTTGGGTGTGGGGACCGACTTCTGAGAGTCTGGGCCGTGGAATGCTGTCCATCCCACACACCTCAGCCGCCCTGCCCCAAAGAGCCTGGTCTCCCTGCTCCCGCTGGGGACCCGTCAGTCGTGCTGGAAGCCGTGTCTCATCAGGAAAGGCTGATGGGCTCCTCTCATAAACCAGGGGCACACGCTTTTGCACCCCCGGTCCAACCGCACACACTAGCGGATGGAACTGTTGGGTTAGCTAAAAAGGTCGTTCCGGTTTTTCCATACCATCTTACAGAAAAACCCAGACAAACTTTTTTGGGCAACCCAATATTAGAGGAATAAGGATGCCAGGCTTCCCCTTCACCACCAATTCCTCCAAGGGAGTAGAAAAACTCTTTCCTCTCCTTTAAAAAGCCACAATAGCTATAGTCAGTTTGGGCTAAAACAACTTACTTTTATTGCATAACCACACTGTATAATCATTATATTTTTGAGCAAATTTCAGCTTCAGAATTTGACAAGCCCTTTGTTAACTAATTAAGTGCTAAGTAAGATCTGCCTTATTAATCATGTTCATTTGAGCTATAAAATTGAGGCCTGAGTTATCAAAAGGAAAATTAAGGAAGCTGGCTTGGCCCTGAGTGTACCAGCTGAATTACACGCGAGATGCCCCTGGAGGCTGCCGCAACAGAGCTGCAACGCAAGTCAGTTGTGAGCACCAGGTTCCTCTGGAACGCATGACGCCAAGGGGGCTGTGCAAACAGCTGCTGCAGCGGAGCCCACGCGCCCCTGGCCACGCCGACTGCCCGGCCCAAAGCTGCCTGACACTCTGCCGTACTGAGCTTCCCAGTGTGGGATTTATTGGTTCACTTCTGGATCACGGACCACCCGGGTGAGACGCCACGCCTCATGGTTTTTCGTTACCAGACGAAGGTCCAAGTGTCACCAAACAACAGGAGGAAATGAGAAGGCACACAGAGGGCTGGCCACCAGGCACGGGCCACGCCAGCCTCAGTCCCGGGAGGTGCACAGACCGGCCGACGCGGACGCTGCCGGGACGCTCAGTCCAAACCCTGCAGCCGTGCCTCTGGGCACCTCTGGGCCACCGAGGGTCTCCGTCCACAGAATCCAGGTCTCGTCACTCTCATTCCCAACCCGCTTCAACCGGAGGCGGATTTCAGACAGCCACGAACCCAGGGCCGAAGAATCCTGGGTGGGAAGAGCGGGCGCTCAACCCGAGGCAGCAGGACGTGGAGGAAGCAGGCGGCCGCTGGGGGGCCCTCTGCCCCGGGGGTCCCGGCACGCGCCTCGTACACCCCCAGGTGACAGTGACAGAGCCGACCAGGCCGTCCTCCCCAGGGCCCCGCCTCCGAGCCCCTCACTTCTGTTCCCTCCTCAGCAGCGCCCTTCCCAGACCTCCGGGCCCACCACCCTCTGCCTGAAGCACTGCCTCCCGGGGGTGCTCGGAGCACAGCCAAACTCCCCACAGAGCACCAGCCCCGACAGGAAGTGCCTGCCGCGCCTCACCCTCTTCCAGGCTGGATGAAGGACGGACAAGGTCGCCACCCCGGCGGCAGCAGCGGCACCAGCAGCAGCGCCAGCAGCCGGCGCGTGCGCACCAGGCCCGAACTGAGTCCAAGCGGAGCTGCGGCGCGGCCTCTGCCCCCTGGCGGGTGGGCGGGGCCCCACCTACCCCCGCCCCACCCGACTCCGCCTCTATCGCGTCTCGCGGGACTAGCCCCCTTTGCGCCCTTTCCGGGCCCATTTCTGGTCTCGCAGCCGCTTCTGGACGGCGTGGGTGTTGCTTCCCCGGGCAGAGCAGGTGGCCGCGTGCGCTGCTCCGGTGGCCGTGTGCGCTGCTCCGGCGGCCGTGGCTCATCCGTGATGCCTGGTTGGCCCCGGCCGCTCTCACGGCCGCCTGGCCCACCCGGCAGAGCGGCCCTCGGCAGGATTTGCCCAGTGACCAGTGGACACTGTATGGGCGGCGTCTGGCCCGTGTCCTCTGCCCGGCGCTGTGCGTGGCCCAGGCAAGCCATCCGCGGACACTGGGGCGCGATGACGCCGGCCCAGCGAGAGGATTGCCGTGCGCCGTGTGCCTGACCAGGCGGGCATCCAGCGGGGGCGGGGCACCGGAGACCCGGTCACCCGGCCTGGGCGCTCTGGCTGTCTACGTGGTGCCAGGGACAGTACATGGCTGTGGTCCCGCAAGAGTCTGGACTCTTTCTTAGAAGCCACCAAGCTGTAGTCTTCAAACAAGGAGCTGCGCCGAGCCACTGTCTTCCGGGTTTGAAGGCATTTGCCCGATGCCAGTGGAGGCAAAGAGAGGTTCCAGCTTGCCGACCGCGGCCTGGGCCTGGAACAGAGGACGGGGGCTGAAGTTTGGGGGGCAGTGACAGTGGTCCCTCGTCCCAAGCCTCCACGCTGCGGTAAATCTACCAGGGGCCTGGCTCCGCGGAAGGCGGCTGCGCCGTGACCGGGAGAAGCGCGGCTCTCCCTCGGCCGGAGGAGCGTGCGTCCCTAACCGCAGTCACCGGACGTCTGGTGGGGGAGTGGAGGGCGGGAGGCGGCGCCCACGGGGCCTCCGGCCAGGGAGCGGAGACCAGCGCGGCTGGACGGAAGCTTGTTAGACGTTTTCCGAAATACCTAAGGTCTACTCCCCGCTTTAAATCTCTGCAGATACAAAATGGAAGGCTGAATCATGGTCTCGGTGAAGTCTTAGGGGAAAAAATATAAAGTGGCTCAGAAAGCATAGCAATTTTTAAATTTTTTTTACTAAATATTTAGAGTAGAAGCTCCACCCCTTTCCAGCATAGATTTTCTCTAGGGGACTGCAGGACCAGCAGGCCTCTCTCTTGCTCTGTGTTCTCTCTCCTCTGATGTCTTTTGCACTTTCCCTTGCATGGTCTCAGAAGTGAAGAACCAAACACAACAAGCCAAGAAAAGGAAGTTCATCAGTTTCAGAAGGTTTAGAGAAACGTCTAGATTGTGGAACCGTAACAGTTCTGGGCACTTCCTGTGCATCACCACCATGGTCTTGAAGCTCTAAGAAAGAAATGGGCAGCATTTCCCACACACATATGATTACAGGATCTCTTTCCCAAAGCACCTCCTATGGCTTTTGTGCCGTGGACGCACGTCAGGAAATCCGAGCTGTATGCTGATGCTCAGTCCTTCCCAGTCCGTAGCATGAGCCGGCGTCAGATGAAGCCCTGGGGGGAGTGAACGCATGTACTGAAGACATTCATAGTGTCACTGTTCTGCTCAGTCCTCCCGTAGGTAGCGAAGTGGGCTTGTGCCTGGCTGTGGGGTGCAGGGAGACAGGGAGGCTGGAGGATGTCTGCTCTGCTGATCTGAGAGAGAAGGAGACAAGCTTCCAGAAATGCTTTGGCAAACTATTTGAGCTGGTACAGGAGGTGAGCAACAGCGTAGGGCCAACTGTGTACTTGTGGGTCAAAACCAGTTTTCCAGACTAGTGGCGTTCCTCCAAGCCATGTTTCAGGACCAAGGTCCCTTGTGTCACCTGGGTCCCCTGACCTGAGCTGCAGAAGGGCAGGACAGGAGTTGTGCCCCTGGAGCTGTAGAATTCAGCCTAGGAGTGCAGTCACCCCACCCCATTCCAGCCCAAACGCAGCTGTGGGCCACTCCCACCTGCAGGAGAGCTTGGGCTCAGAGAGGAGCGTGTGCCCAGGAGGACAGAAGAGACGGTGAGCGTCAGCCCGTCTGCTGTGGGGCTCAGAGGAGGCTAAGTCACGTGACGTCCCAGCCAGAGTGTCGGCGTTTGGATGGCTCACGGCAGTGGAGGAGCCAAGCGCAGCCGAGCCCAGGACACCTTTGGAGGCCACGCCAGCAGGATCTCTGGAGAATCTGATGTGTGGTGTGAGAGGAAGAGGGAGTCAAATGTGGACCAGCGTTTTGGAGACGCGACAACTGGAAGAGTACAGCCCTGCAAGAGTGGTTCCATGGCTTTTGTGTTCCTTCCTGCATCCCCATCCTCTGGGCCCTGATAGGGGTTTACTAAAGACCCACAGAAAGAACGGATGCCTGGAGGACAGCGCCTACGGATGTGTGCAGCCACCACGGGAACGGGCTTAGGAAATAGCTCCACACAGCACGGGAGACACCTGACTGATAGCTTTCAAACTAGCCTCCCAGCTGACTTCTGCCATGAAGCTGTCCCTGTCTACAGTAATTATTATAAAATCACTCAGAGAAGTAGAAATGAGACTTACTGGCAAAACTGTGGGCTCCATGATCAGCTGGGGTGGTGTTTCTGGGTCAGGGAGAGGCTGTTGTTGTCACATCCTAGGTGGCCCCCTGAAATGCACATTCAAACACCAACTCGGAAGCGGAATGTCTTTGAAGGAGTCGGCTGCACACAAACCACCAGGTAGGCCTTCCACGTATGTGTTTTCCACACGTGGTTGGGACGTTTCTGCTAAAACAAAACGGAGACACAATATTTTCACCTGAGCCTTCGCCACCCCTCAACGGTGTCAGGTCTGTAGCCATAGGTTTCACAGGACGCCTTTCTGTGTCCTCACAATATGCTCTCCAGAGGCTAACAACTTAGACTCAGGTAACTGCCATCATCACTGGAACAGAAAACCGTGTCTACACGTGTCTGTTACGTGTTCTCCGCCCACCCGTCACTGCCCAGTTCACAGGTCATTTAAGGATGGGTTCCTCTGGACGAACGCTCTGCAGTGAGATTTCATAACCTGCTGTCCTCCCGGAGCCCATGTTTGTGGCTCAGGGCATTCGCAGCACAGGTGTCGGTGGACGGCATCAGGGGCCCCCAGATGTGACTGGGCTTCCTGCGAAACTGGAGAAGCGTTTCTGGGCATCACGTTGGCCGCCCGGTGCAGTGATGCTGCCCGAACCTGCAGGGCTGCCCGTGTTCCAGCCGCTTCTCGGAATCCCGGGTCGGAGGTCAGCGCCCTCCCAGTGGAGCAGCTTGTCCTTGGGGGAGGGCAGGCCCTTGGTCTGTGGTGGTTTAGACTTTGAATCTTTGAGGCAGCCAGACCTTGTGGGAGGTGAAATCTAGGAAAAGGACCTGCATGGCTGCGGACGGCCATGGAGGGCGGACGCTTTCCGGGTGAGACTCCAGCGCTGCTCTTGGTCTTGGATTGGGGCCACCAGCCAGCAGCGCAGGCCCATCCTGCCTCACCTTGTCTTCTGCTCCCCTCTCCTCTGGGAGAGTCGGTGACCAACAAGGGCCAGAGGCCCCCTGCATGCAGCAGAGGCTGTTACCCGCCCCCAGGGCTCCCCTAGCTCTCTGCTCCCCCCATAGGCTCAGGCAAGGGTTAAGTCAGGGCCTAGGAGAGGGCTGGGCGCACAGGGAGGCATGGGCTTGTAATCATCAGCACCTTCAAATGCAGACAACGCAAGCCTACCATGATAGGCTGGAGCTGGGCTGATTAAAAACACCGCATCACCGTCAGAAGAGCAGGGGTCACATGCAGACCATAGCTTTGGGGCCTGCTGCTCAAGTGTTCGAATGTTTCTGGTTTTGCCTCAATCCTGAGTGAATGGAAAACCTCAAACGTGACTGTAGTGAGCCCACGGCTCCCTTCTGCTGCCGTGAAATCCCTCATCAATGCTCATTGGAGACCTTTCTGGGCTCTCCACTCTGCGTCGTGACTACAAGCCTGCACCCTAGGTCCGGGCTGCCCTGGCTCCACTTCCAGCTCTCAGGCCACGAGCACCTGCCTTGGGCTCAGTGTCCGTGGCTATACGTGGGGTCGAGAATAGGCGGGAGGCCTGGCTGAGGTAATATGTGGACAGAGGCATGTCTTAGATGGTGCCTGTCACCCAGCAGCACTATATAGGGTTAGGCACTGTTGTCGTTACTACAGATGGAAATTTAAAGACGAGATTAGTCGTCGCCGTGGAACTTTCCCTCCGCCCCAGCTGAGACTGCAGGGGTGAGGCGGGTGGTGCAGAGCACGGCTCCCACGCCAGCCCAGCACCCGCCTTGCTGCGCCGTCCTCCTCACCCAGCGGAGCTCTGGCCCGGAGCCTCCCGGCTGCAGCCGGAGGTGGGGCTGTGGACGCTCACGGCCCCCGGGCCCCGCACAGTCCAGCGGTAGCCGTGACAGCTGAACCCCTGACCTGGGCTGGGCAAATGGGAAGCTTAATTTCCCTGAACTCATGAGCCCCTGAGTCCTCGCATGTTGGGTCAGGTGGGAGGGAGAATGTGGCAGTGTTGGGGTCCCCACTCCCTCTGCTACCTGAACTGCCCCCCAAATCTGTTTTCATATATGGGGCCTCCCAGTGAGGTGTGCTTTATTTAAAAACAGGCTCTGTCACTTAGAGAAAAAACATGGAGACTGAAGACCAGAGAGCTGGCCTGTCCCACATGCGTGGTGGGGCTGTGTGGAGCGCCGGGCTCCGGCCCACTCTGCTCAGCAAACAGAACCGAACTGTAGGCATCCGCCCTGCGTAGGAGCTGGAGATGCAGAGCCGTGACATCCAGCCTTTGCTTCAAGGAGTTCGTGGGCTGCGGGAGGACAGAGCTGAGAGGGGCGGCTGGGGTCCCAGGACGGGGAGGGCAAGCGGAGCGTACACTTGGGCTGAGCTCTGAAGCTGGGGACTTTCACGTGCGGGGAGCGCTATGGGAACAGGGGCGACTGTTCAAGGATGGTGGTTGCAATCCCGGCCAGGAGGGACGGATGTGCTGCGAAGGCAGCAGGGAGGCCACAAGGCAGGTCTGCTTTTGCGAGTGCCCTGGGCCTCCCAAGTTTCCACACGGCCACAACACAGAAACGCCTGGCTGGCTGGCGCTCGGGGTGAACCGGGGGACGCAGGAGCATCTATCTACGTGGGCGAGGCAAGCGAAAACTCACTCCTCCTTTCTTTATATTATATGACCTTGAGGGAAAAGTTAAACATCAAACATTAGAGAGATTCTTAAATGCTGAGCTGGAACACTTCCAACAACAATATTTTCAAACTTTTAATGAAAACTTTAGCATGTGCTTGCAAATATCACTCTTTTATATCAGGCTTTGTAAACAAATTGGCTACAGGAATCTGACTCAGAATTTTTACCGAATCATTCTGATAATCGCCATTGCTTAAAAAACAAGTCTTTGTACGCATGAGCAGACAAGTTATCACTTCGTCCTCTAATTGACTGAATGTCCTGTCTTGCCATTAAACAAAATTGGAAAAATTGATCTCATTAAAATAGACTTAAAATGTGTGATCATTTATGAATCTAACTTGCTTTTCTCTCACTGACTGACGTAGTTGAGATTTGTTTTGATGATGCAAAAGGATTTCTAATTCAGCAGAACTTTTAAATTCAACTATTTCAAAATGAAGAAACTCTTCCACAAGAATATACAGATGTTTCTCTACTAATTTTGTTCTTTTGGCTTCAAATTATAACACCAACCACACATGACTGCAAAGCCATCTTTAACATTACTTTTCCAAAGCTGGACTTTTGCTTTACATTTGTGGACTTTTTCACTACATGTTAATATATTTCAATTGTTTACACTTTGGACCTCACATACGTCAATTAAGTGAACAATTTTTGTAAGACACTACTATCATAAACAAATCTTCAAAGTAAGAATCTCTCACAAAATGTCATGGTTTTTATTTTTCCTAATTCGTTCTTTTTCTTAAAAACATTTGGTTAACCTTCCTTAAGCAGTCAGTCAGCTTAGAAATTCCAGAGTGGTCTTCAGATTACATTTCCTCTCATAAAGATAAAACTGGATGGACAGCAATGGCTTGGATTTTACTAATTCACCATTTAGATAACACTTGTAGCGTGGAAATTAGAGCTACAGGAATATTTTTAACATAAAGAGCTTCTCTCTTTATGTGATTAAAACTGTGCACTCCTTGAACCTTGGGTTTCCAGAGTGAACTCTTGGTTCAGAGCCTTCCATCTCCTCTTACTGCACCCACAGGAATGGTAGACAGACAGACGCAGGTGGGGTTTCCATCGACCTCATTTGTTTCAAACACTGCTTTTGATATTCATCCAGATGCTTGTTATGGTACCGCCTTCAGGACAAATTATTTTCTTCCACGAATTTCTCTTCAGGGATTCTACAGGGGTTTTTAACAATTACTAATGTCTATACACAGAATCATCCTTCTGCAATAAGGGCTTTTTGACTTAATCTTCTGGATTGGTCTTGTCTCTGTGTCAGCAGATATATGCCTCTCAATAGCACAAAAGAGGCATCTCTTCTATTCGCTTTGCCTTGCTGGACCCAAACATGGTCACTTCTGCAATTGTGGGAGGTGTTTTGCTGTGGCCACTCAATGGATGAGCTCGTTTCTAGCTTCTTAAATTCATTCTGATAATCTTGTAACTAGTCTCTTAAAATAATTTTGTTTACTGAGAAGTGTTCGGGGTGGAGGTGAGGCCCAGCACAGAGGTGCCCAAGGGGGCTCTGAGGTCTCTAGCTTGGTGAATGGATGGGTGATGGGGCTACTGACAGAATGGAACCCAGAGAGAGGCTGGCTGGGGATGACAGATAATGAGTCCAGATTAGGATGTCAGTTTGAATTGCGTGTGGGGTTGACAGATGGGAATATCCAGCAGGCATTAAGGAAATGAAGAAAAGAATCGATGTCTACACCACCAGGACATACGTGATCTTTGAACACATCAGTTTGATGCCATATATATATATATATAAAATGTGCTGCACATTTGTTGAAATGACAAGACAGATTTTATCTGAGCTACTGCAGTAGGGGAGAGAAACCTCAGTATGGAACTGAGCCCAACTCCAGGTACAGCAAGGACAGCTGGGGATCCATAACCGAGCAGAGGGTCATCAGGCAATCAACGGAATCATTCCTTCCTCTAATATTAGTAGCAGTAGTTGGACAAGTATTTCTCCTTTTCCGTATCACTGCCATCTGGGAAGGGAACAGGGTCGCTGTGCTGTGGCTGCACTGCTGCTGTGGCTCCTTACTGTCACACGGACACACGTGAGGATCACAAAGAAAAGCGGTTTGTGCACAAATATTGTCTCATCTAAGCCACATGCCTTCACACCCAGCTGAGCGTAGGCCTCAGACAGCTCTCCTGTGCCCTGGAGAACTGTGCCCCCAGCCCCCAGTCCTGGAGTTCCACTGAGCCTCCACAGGGAGAGGTGAATTGGCCATGGTCCTGTGATATACCTTGGAATATGGAGAGACGTGATGCTGGCCAAGGCCACAAAGGGCAGAGTTTGCTGGACACCTTGCACTTTTGCCCTCTGACCCAGGAAGAGCCATTCCAGGTGGCTGTGCGCCCCAGGTGAAGGGACCTCCGCCTGACTCTCAACTGCCCAGGAGCACGGAGCCAGCAGGTATGCGGATCGTTCTGCAGTGTTATCACAGCAAACTCTTGTGCCAGCACTAACTCCCTTTCCAACGTTTCTTCCACCTTTCTATGCCCTTAAGATTCACAACCAATACAAAAATTATCACTCGCTTGAAATAATAAGAATTTTTAAATGAGCCACCTGTTCTATGATTAGTCAATAATCCGCCTACAGCTCATATCGTTTCAAAGGCTGACATAGTTTCCCCAAGTCCTGGTTTCTTGGCAGTCTGTGCGGTGATTGTCTGGAACTGGGACTCTGCCACGTGGAACGTGGGCTCCATATCACATACTTGATTCTATGCAGATTAACTATTCAGCTTCATTGCATCCTGCCCAGATTATTATTTTCTGAGATTTATTAACTCTCCATAAAGTAAAAGCCATCCATTCAGAGCTCTCCTCTATTTGCAGTCCTTGAAAGTTTATGTCAAACATGTTTGTCTAATATGAAGGAAAAGAGATACAAAGATTTGGTACAAACTCAAGGGAATTCCTGACAAACCTCATAACATTTGAATCTGTTGAGGCAAAAGAAAAACATGCATGAAGTGGTGATTTTCTCTGGCACGGCACAGCAGACACACCATCACACGTGGGGAGAAGATGCACATTGAGGCAACGTGGAAACAAAAGGCCTTCGGGCCATGCTGACCCCTGCGCAGCAACGCCGCGCAGGCCTGTGGTTCTGAAGGGCCTGTGTGAGCGCTGTGCTCCTGGGGCCCAGCCCCACTGACTCTTGCCTGAATGTTGTTTGGTCGGCCCTTTAGCATCAAGGACTGAAGACGTTAGAAAGGACAGGACAGGGACGCAAGCAAGTTTTCATGTAAGACAAGAGAGCAAGGGCTCAGAAAACATGAACAGAAGCGTGGGCCTTCCAACCTAGAAAGGCGCTCCTGGGGTGGAGAAGAAAGAGGTGCACCCACGTGTCCGTCCAGAACAATCCTGTAAACAAACTAAACTAAAGGACAGGAGATGTAGCAGGAAGGCCCGTGTGCACACAGCCAGCTGCAGTGGTATTTGAGCAACAGAGAGAGGAAGGCAGCACTAGCCCCAGAGTTAAGAAGCTTAAAATGGTGTCGGAATATTTGGGGTAGAAAATTACTCAACATTTTGAATTTCCCCTTTGCATAATTTTTACTTATTACATTTACTTCTCTTACCTCTTTTCCGGAATGCTCACTCATCAAAATCTATTTTTTGCACTTACACCTGATGGAATTAGAGCTCTGGTTTTTGAATGGTAGGCTGCAGGGTAGTTAAAACATCATCATGAAGACCCCTAGGACAGAGTCATGGTCGTTGCTCTGGAGGAATGAGCCCAGCTGTCTGAGGTGAGCAGCCCGGATGCCATCAAAGTCTCCCACTGAGATGGAGGCGGGGAGCCCAGCCCCCTTCAGGAAGCCCGTCCTCAGGCTGGCTGCCAGCTCCAGAACTGTACGTCCCCACTGCACCGTGGTCTCCCAAGTCCCGGAACAGGGTCTGGAGCACAGCGGGTGCAGGATGCGAGCTGTTAAATAAGCAAATGGATGAAATATTGCAGAAGTTAGATCCAGTTTTACCACTGAAATTGTTGTTTGGTCACATTCCCCAACCATTACTGGAAATATGCACACACATCTGTGTCTGTTTTTCTTTTAGGAAACATTTTATTGAGACGTCATTACATATAGAAGCACATTCTCTTTTCCAAATGCCTTCACTCAAGGAACCCACATGGGTGACAGACGGTGTCCACGACCCCAGAAGGTGCCTCTGTCCGTACCCAGACAGGCCCCTGATGCCGTCTGATTTCTCTTGTCATAGTTTTTTTTGAATTCTTCTGGAACTTCATGTAATTTCTGTCATAGACTGTGTACTCTTTTCCGTCTGGCTTCTTTCACTCAGCATAATAGGTGAGATCCATTAACGTTACTACGCGTATCAGAAGCGTACGCCTGTATCGGTGAGAAGTATCCCCTGTATACACACACCACAGCGCCTCCGCTTTCCTGGTGACGGACCTCAGGGCTTGTTCTTGTTCTTGATACTACGAACAAAGCTTCGATGACCATGCTCACATGAGGTGTTTTGTGGACCTGTATGTTCTCTCTCTTAGATGAATATCTGAGAGTGGAATTTCTGGGACACAGGGAAGATGCATGTTTAACTTTTTGAAAAAGTGCCAAACATTTTCCCAGACTATTCCGTTTTACACTCTGTTGGCCATATTTGAGAGTTATGATCAAATCCTTGACAACGCTGTATTGTCAATCTTTTTAAGTTACTGACATTCTGATGTGTACAGAAGTATCTCATTGTGGTTTTAATTTGCATTTCCCTAACGGTTGATGATATTGAGCAATTTTCCCTTTCATATTGCCATTCACGTATCTTCTTTTGTGAGGTGCCTATTCAACTATTCTGCCCATTTTTGGTTGTTTGTCTTTTATGATAAATTATAGGAGTTCTTTATATTATTGAGACACAAGCTTTTGGTCTGATATATGCACTGTAAATATTCTCTCCCGTTCTATGGCTTGCTTATTGATTTTCCTAATTAATTTTCCTCTTTTGAAGAGCAAAATATTTGTTATCCATTCAGAAAGAAAAATGGTCAACTTAGTTATCCCCCCCGCAAAATTTTTAAAATATAGTTTACTTTAAAACAACTATAGCAAACTGCATGGATTCATTCCATATCTTTGAAAGAAACATCCTACTTTATTTATTTCACAGAAGGTAAATCAGTATGGTTTCACTTAGGAAGGTATTTTTGTTTTCATATTTTCTCATCCATCTGTGATGTATTTCAGTCACCCAGGGCTTATTCATTGAGGATGGAATGTGATTTGACGTGCCCGGGTACTTCTGTCATACCATCATGTGTGTGGCTCTCCAGGTCCAAAGGCAAAGTTTCAGTTCTTTAGTGGAAAGTTTGGCGTTTTCTTGGTGGCTAGTAAATATTTGTAAATTACAAAAGCAGGGTCCTTTCTGGATAATAGGAGACTGTTGGACGTCGGAAGATCATTATATAAAGGAAAGGCTGCAGCAGGAGAGCAGACAAAGGGCAGCAGCAGCTTGAGTCTTGAAATGTCAAAAAGGAGACATTTCCAGGAAGATGCTACAGCATGATGGGAACTTGACGGAGCCACCCAGAGAGAAACACTGAAAAGTCCGAGACTGGGGAGCAGAGTGCTACCAACAAGAACCACATCAGAGGAGGGTGATGCTAAACCCACCGGAGGCCAAGCTCCAAACGTGGAAATCGTCTTTACTGAATCTTGCATTTCAGAGCGAAAAGTATATGCGGCATGCGTACTTTGCCCTGTTAAATTTGTGTAATTTTCCTCTTCTTCCTGCCAATAGCTTGTTCTGTTATCCAGATGGGTAACTACAAATTTAGTACATAGTGATTCAACTGGGAGCATCTCTCTATAAACAGCTGCTACTGCGATTCCAATGACACGTGACAGCCATTAACGGCCCCAGGGTCACAGCCCGAGTTCACATCCCAGGCTTGCCCACAGTGGCCCACAGCCTGAAGGCACCCAGGCCATGTGGCTGGTCAGCGTGGGCGCCCCTGACCAACGTACTTCCTTAAAACGTTAGCAGAAGTAGAGAAGAGCTGGTCACTCTGATGATGAGAGTGGTAATCTAGCGACAGCGGTGCAATGAAACACCTGCCTCCAGACGCTGGCGAGTGGAGCCATGCTGCCAGGACAGAAATGCCAGGAGGTTGTGTCCACGTGCCCTGGACCCTGCATGTGGAGAGTTAGGATGCCCCGTTTTCTACGACTCGGGGGTTGAAAGTATTTGTATGGAGAATATAAATCTGCTATTGACGCAACTTCACACGCTGGCAAAAAAAAGAGGAGGCAGAGGAGGGGTAGGATGGTCTCCCCTCCTCGGGCGAGCTGCCTCAGGGTCACATCTGAGTGCCCAACACCTGCGCCTGGATACACGTCTCTGCTCCATCACCAACTGCCCCACTGCTCCTCCTCATCTGTCCCCACTCTTCCTTGAAGCATTCACGTAAGTGCCCATCTTTTCCACGCAACCTCACTTTTCTTGCCATTAATTTCAAAATTACAGACAAGCACACTTGTTCCGAGTCAAACTGTACATTTCTCTTCAATATTGATATTAGCTTTGTTACCATTCAGTTCTTCTCCTGGAATCTTTATGTTCTTATCTTTGCCAGGGAAACATAGGAATTAAATTGCTTCCATTCATTTTTTTTAGTCCTCTGTTGAAAAACTCAAATAAAGGACTGCAGAGGAAAGGGCAGATTGAACGGAGTGTGGTCAGTAAATGTGACATACATACTTTCGTAACTTGAGGTCTCACACCGCAAGTGACTCAAAACCTAAATGGCAAAGCAGGAGCGCCATCACTGGAGACGTGTCCCAGACCAAAACCAGAATCTTCATTGGCTCTCCCGATACCCTGTACCTTCATGAGCCAGCTCTTGTGCCGGCAGTGTGTCAGAGTACCATGAAGTTGTCAATAGAAGTAAAATTAAAGTTAAGTTGGGAACATACAGAAGAAACCAATCAAATAAATTATTCCTAAAATTAAAGCCTGAAACAAAGCTGGCACTAAATAAAGTTTTTATCAGAAAGTGGAAAGAAAGAAGTCAGAGAGGAAAGAAAGGGTGGCAGAAAGGCAGGCTTGGTATATGGGTCTGGATCTGTATATTACTGCTCCCTCTTTTGAAAAACATATTTGGTTGAGCCGTATGGAGCTGCCATTTTGTAGGGTAAAGACACTCAAATATTGGTAACTTAATATGGTTCAGTCTAATAGTGTCAGCACGAAGATTCCTGCTAGACGTGTGAAAAAGCTATCTTTTCAAATGTTGAGTTGTCCGCACCCCACTTCAACCCTTCCTTCCAGACGGATGCATCTGTAGGTGTTAGCATATCCCACAAATTTCATCCTTTTCTCTGTTTATCAGTCAACCATTTGCAAAACTAATAATAGTAACCTTTACTATGAAAACACCCAGGCACCTTCCTCCCAAAGTCTGAAATACAGAGTCAGTTCTGCTAACGAAACAGAATGCACTCCCACATCTGAAAAGAATGCCCTTAAACAGAATGTCAAAAAGAGCAGAAACTGTTTATTCCAGAATTTGTCTAGACCACCCCTCTGCAGCGAGGCTTGGGTGGCCACAATCACATTCTTGTTTGTGCCAAACGTTGTGCAAACCCATGACATATGCCACATAACATTAGTCATTTGATCATTCAAATACCAAAAAGGAATCTTAAGAGCTGTTGTGTGCTGGCCCCAGCCTGTCAATAACCAACACTGTGGCTGAACCGGCCCTTGTGGTTCTCATTATGATGGCAAGACACCCCTCAGCACTAACTATTGGGAAACTTGAAAAACTAAAGGTTTATTACTTACAGGACCTGGAAATTACACAGCACACCTGGTGCCACACTGCGAGGTCAGGGGGATAGAGAGACAGAGAGGTGGAGAGAGAGAGGGAGGGAGGGAGGGAGGGAGGGAGGGAGAGAAGGATACTGTGAGCACAGGCCTGGGGTCCTACTTTTACTGGGGCTTGGCGTGGGGGCCTGGGGTTTTCCTAGGCTCACTCTTTACTGGTGAATTTAAAACATGAAAGCAGGAATTTAAAGTGCAGAAAGAGAAAATAAAACAAGTGCCCCAATGGTCAGTCACTGCAATTAAATAAGATCTTCCAAACAAAGCCACCTCAGTGGGGAAGGTGGCCTGGCTCTGTATCTGGCGTGGCTAATAGCAATGTGCTTTTCCCAGGTAGCCTTCCTTGAAGCTGATGCCCTATCTGAAGTGGGGGCCTGGGCAATCAAAGCTTAAGTTATGCATTTGCGTTACAAAAAGGAAAAACCCCACCTGTTAGGGCTCACCCTACCACCCAGCCTGTGATGCCAAGCCATCAGAGTCAAAGGTGAGGGTGGTGAGAATGTAACTGCCTCCGTAGCTGATGTGCTAAGTCAGGGGTAGGGTGCATTGTAACTCAGAAAGCACATATCTAAATAGGATTCTAGTCCCAAATCCTATAATAAATACACAGACAGCAGTCTGAAATCTAGTCTGTATCCACGGTCCCAAATTTGAAGTGTCCTGCAATAAAACTAAGTCAGTGACCTTGGGGGCCCGAGGAACCTGGTCAAAGATTTGGGTGCCATTGTGAACTACTTTATTGTCTTGGCCACCTGGTGTAAGAAGGTTTGAACCTGTCCCGAGTTGCTGGGTTGTCTTTATCTCATTGAACCCTCTCTTAGTCCAGAGAGTAGGTCAGTTCAAGTAGAGGCTGTGTCTCATTTCAGGAAGTGGCGATGCAGGTGGGTTCCCCAAGTTAGGCCTACATGGCGCACATACTTGCATCAGGTTTTTAATAAAAGGTGTTTCTATGGAAACAAAGGAAAACCAATGGTTAGTGATTGGAGCAGACTATAATCCCAGTTTCTGAGTTCTGAAAGCAGCCAGGTAAGGTTTCTAGATGTGGGGTTCGAAGCATCTCCAGATGGAGTGAGGGCAGGCAGTGGCAACCTGACATCTTTTCCCTACTTGCAGCTTGAATGTCTCTGGTGGTCTTTCTGAGTGACCACACAGCAACAAGCATGAAGCTGCTGTGGCAACGTGAACTGCTGTGATTTCTCTAAGCTTATATCAAATTGTCCAACTTTAGCTTGCATGGCTTCAGGAAAAAGGCGGTTTTAGTTCTCAATGATTCCAAGTCAGAGGGTGGGAGAAAAACTGGAAACATTAGTTTGGAGAGCTGAGGCCTGAGGTTAGAGGAAACAGGGAGAATTTAGGATCTGGTCTGCTTTACAGGTCAGAAACAAAACCTCAAACACAATTAACAGAACTAGAGTCTAATATCCCCAGCTGTATATTATAGTTTCTACTGAAACATTGTTTTCTGTCTACAGTCATCCCCTTGCTATCAAAGACAACATATAAGACTAATTTATTTACAAATTAAGTCTAGTTTCAATAAACTGGCCTGATTATTTACATAAGTGCAGCAAGAATTCCAACTGACCATATTGGCTCTTTTTAAGTCTGCTTTGCAGGAACTTTTCATAAAGAATCTCAGATTGAGCTTTTAAAAGCCTCCGGGGGCTAGGAAGCCGAGCCGAGGCCTTGCCGATAGGCTTTGCCTGCAGCACCTATAGGTGTGAGTTAATTCCTCTCTTCTCAAGGTCCCCAAGATATCCTGAGGTTCCTGCACCTGCCAGGAAGTGACCTCCTTTACTCACCTGATAAGGCCGCCAGGAACCCTGTAAGCAGGCTATAGGTTGGTTTTCCAAACTGTCTGGTCATATCTGAGTCTATGCACATTCTCAAATAATACCTTCCAGTCAAAGTCTTGGGAATTAAATAATGTTTCCAATGGTGTCCTATTACAAGGAGAATAGAATCTTATTGACCTTATGCAAATAACTATATTGCCATGAAAATAAGAAGACTCACTGAGAGTTTTCTAATTCTGGAGGGATCATGTAGGGAGAAAAAGATAAATGTTTCACCTTTGTTCACAAAGATATACTTTACCAAATCGTTGTAGATCATAGATAGCTTAAGAGAATAGGATTCCCTAAATCTGGAAAAAACAAAAGGTTAAAGAACCAACAGTGTTTCAAAAAAAGTCACAGAATTGTAATGACCCTCATCCGTTCATTCGCTCCCAGGTAATTAATTCTCGTTGACCTTGACCCGTGGTTGGCAGTTTCATGAATACAGTGTCACGTAAACTCCTACCCAGGTCAGCGGTGTGATCTGAGCATTACCAGAAACCTATCTTCCAGAATACTTGTCAGAGACCTCTCCATGAAAATCTCTGAATATGAAACGCATCTGTAAAAAGCGTCAGAGTAAAACAATAACTGTAAATGACAAAAGACCTAGAAATGATCATGATTAAATATCTAATGAGAATTCATTATAATGCAGTTGGCAAGGAAATTTGGTTATTTCTGTGACATACAACATTTTAAGATGATAATGAGAATTACAAATGATAACATACATATAAGACTTCTAGGAATTTCATATAATTTCTGGAACACATATCAATAACACATATCCATACAAGAATATCCATAAAGAAGTTTTAGCATGATTTCTTCTGATAAAACACAAAACCTTTGCTTTCTAGCCAGATTACTTATGGTAAAGAAAAGCATTCTGTAATCTATCAGAAGCATACCAATACTCCAAGAAAACTTTGTCCTTTCAGCTGATGAAAGAAAATTACATAAGCATACTATTGCTATTAAAGCTTAGGTTAAAAAAAAAACCACACCCACCTTATAATAATGATCCAAGTTTACCCAACTTCACTACACAAGATAAAATTCTTTTTCTCTCTCTCTTCCCAACTGTATACCCCATTTTGTCCTTTATTTTCCTATTTCCCATTCTGAAATAACCAGTTTTACTTTAGGACAAATTTATTTTCTTTTTACTTAAAAAAAAAAAAATCTTCATATGTTTCGTACCCAAAAACACATCTATTTTCCTTGCGTGTAGACGTTTCCTTATTTCTAGACGTTTTAATAACATATATTACTTAGAATTCTTAACCCTTAGAAGCCCAATGGGTTTATCATTTCCGTGACAGTAGTGACCCTAATGACCCCCTCTTTATTTCCAACCCTGAGGAGGGCCTATTTGACCTTGAGTCCAGAGATTTACTTTTACAGGCTACTCCTCCTAATTACAGGAACTTTAAGAATGTTATAGAGTTTAAGATGTTTAGAGATACCAGCGAGTTGGTGCACTCTGGCAGCTGTGAATAATAAGAGCTCATTCCAAACAAACAAAAAATCCCACAAGAGCCAATTCATTCCCCTCTCTCCTTTCTGCTGCATAAAATCTTCAATAAAAGTTTGCATTTTAACTAAGGTGTAGTTTCTGATCTCAGTTCCTATTTGATTTTGTCCTGTTACCTGAATCTTCTGTGTTGCCACTGGAACATTCGGGATGATGTCACTGTGAGCCCCCTTCATAGGTGGCCTCTTTCCTCTCCAGGGTGTCCCAAGACACCTCTCCGGGATTGGGGTCTGCTTCCATTGGGCAATGCAGAGAGTCTTTGGGAAAGGCCGCCAGGCCTCTGGGACCTAATCCAGAGTTTGGCACATTGGTGTGCACGGCACAGAGCAACACCCAGGAGCCTTCCATGGTGTTTTGCATTTGTCAAGGAGCTGATGCACCTCCTCAGGGTTCATAGGAAGTGCTGGCACCAGGTGTTCCGGACGTTATATTTGTCCATTATTTTTTAGCAACATCACACCAGGGACTGGATCCATAATATCCCACTGGGTCAGGGGTGGTGCCACTGGTTTCTGGGTGCAAGGTTACTTCACTCTTCTGGGTTAGGACACGGAGTCCGGGCGCAACTCACTGAGTCAGAGGTTGAAGGCAGAGGTCTCTCGTCCTGCTCACCTGCGGAATCCTGTCCTCACGTCCTTTAGCCCAGAGCCTCTCCTTGGACCATGACAATAGCCTTGCCATCCAATCCACCTCTTGGCCTCAAGGCATGGAGAACCCTCCCCACATTAATAGTCAACTAAGGCCGTTATAGTTAGTCATTAGACAGATGGCCTTGATCACACTGCTCTTGGGAGAGTGTTGGATTGTTATGGCAGCCGTGGTCTTTGGATCAACACCACAGGGAACACACGACAGAGGCGATAATAAGAGAAGCACATAGCAGCTTGCAACCCCCGCCAAGCAGTGGTCCTTCCCCAGATGGTGTTACTCACCTGAGTCAGATGGTTGTTAAGCAAGTTGCAGGTAAAGAGCATCACCCTTGGTTAATTCCAAGTGCAATCACGACACCAATTTATTGTGTTGATCTCAGCCTATCAATAATCAATGTTGTGGTTGCACCGGCCCTTGTGGTTCTTATTATGATCGCAAGACATCCTTCAGCAAAAATCTTCAGGAAACTTTGAAAAAAATAAAGGTTTATTATTTACAGGACCCCAGGACACCTGGGGCCACACAGCGAGGTCACAGGTAGAGAGAGTGAGAGAGAGAGAGAGAAAGAATGCATGGGCCTGGGTTCTGCTTTTCTTGGGGTTGAGGGTGGGAGCCCAGGGTTTCAAGGCCTCACTCTTTATTGGTGAATTTATTGATAAAACATAGGAATAGGAATGTAAAGCATGAGAAGAGGAAAAAACAAGTGGCCCAAACGGTCAGTTATCAAAATCAACCAGGATCCTCCAAACAGAGGAGCCTCCGAGAGGAAGCGGCCTGGCTCTCGCTAGTGTGGCCACGGTGCGTTTGCTGGAGACCTCCTGCAGGGGAGCAGATGCCCTCTCTGAGGGGGGTGCTTCAGTTAGGCTCTTGAATCACAAAGAAAAGCCAACCGCCAGGCTGCACAGCAGCCCTCTAACGATGGGGAACGTCTCTTCCTACTTTTCCATCCCAGGCCAGGCTCCCTGGAGAGCAGTGCCACTTCCCCTGCCAAGCGCTTGCCAGCAGGCTTCCTCACCATCCTGCCTCCTCCAGGCAGCCCGCCTGGAACAAGGCCTTCACAGGAGGCTGCCTCAGCCTACCTGCCCGTAAGATGGGGAACGCCTGCCTAGCAAAATCCTAATGGGGTCAAGACGATGGTCCGGCTCACCTCCCACAATGCACCAGATGCTTTTGAAACCACTGGTTGTCATGTATGAGATGTCTTCCCACGGCCCTCAGGAGGTCACCTCTCCAGTCTGGCCTCCTCAGAAGCCTCCTGTGGGGTCTTTTTCTCTCAGCAAGGATGCCCTCCACCCCCTGGTTTCTACCCTCCACGTCACAAGCATCACCCCTCCCATCTCCAATGCTGGTTCCACCAGCAGACACACCACCTGTGCCATCCCAGCAGTCTTTATCCTGGTGAAAGCATCTTAGGAAGCCTGGTGCAACAATGTCCTTCACATCTACCTGACAAAAGCCAGTTCCTCTCAACCTGATTAAACCTATGAATTTGGTATGTGAAAAGAATGCATTAAAATGGGTTTTCCAAGATGAAATTTCATCACTCCTCTCACTGTGACACAGCCTTTGTCAAGTATTTGGAAAATGAAAATAATTCCTATCAAACTCCAATGGTTATTATAAAAATGGAATAATGAAATGAGATCTAGTTAAAAATTAAAAGTTCGATATAAATACATTATTTTTAATACTGCTCTCTGAGGAAGGCAGAAGAACCGTTCACTTTTACTTATGGTACACTTGCTCATTGCTTGAAAATGTGTAATTGCTTTATGATGCTGATAAAACACAAACATTATATTTCAACAAGAGAGATTTAGGCAGCACCCAATGACAGCAACACCCTGCCCCTTGCTGGTGGTGTGTGCAGAAGTACTGCTGTGCATCGAGACCAGCCGGGGAGGCCTTCTGAGTGCAGAACAGTCCACCCCTAGCCTGAGTCAGCGGCCCCGGAGCCCTGCTGTCCACACCCTCAGCTTGGCATGGCTTTTCCCAATTCACTCTGTCCTGCATCTTCCCTTGATAAAGCTCACACGTTAGAGGTTTTCCCTTACTATATTATTTAGCTATTTTTATTGACATTAAATAATGTTAAATTAATTATTTTCTTAAAGTCACATTTGATGTAACGGGACTCAGGACTTACTCTGGAGAAAATTTATATAAAAATGAAAGCAATATATAACATAAACTAACATTTAGTATGAAAGTCATACACAAAACTGGCACGTTAAAAACAATAGAATCGGGGCTTCCCTGGTGGCACAGTGGTTGAGAGTCCGCCTGCTGATGCAGGGGACGCGGGTTCATGCCCCGGTCCGGGAAGATCCCACGTGCCGCAGAGCAGCTGGGCCCGTGAGCCATGGCCACTGGGCCTGCGCGTCCGGAGCCTGTGCTCTGCAACGGGAGAGGCCACAGCAGTGAGAGGCCCGCGTACCGCAAAAAAACAAAACAAAACAAAACAAAAAAACAGAATCTGGTGCACAGTTGGTGGGAATGTAAAATGGTACAGATGCTTTGAGGTTCCTCAAAAAATTAAACATAGAATTATCACATGATCCAGCAATTCCACTTCCAGGTATTTTTCCAAAAGAATTGGAAGCAAGGTCTTGAACAGATACTTGGAAACCTGTGCTCATCACAGTGCGGTCACAGCAGGACAGTGGCTGCGTCCTTTACTAGGACAGTTGCAGCAACATCTGCCTGAGTAGAGTCCTAGCCATTAGTTACTGCCAGGTCTGAGGACTCAGAGCTTGTTCCTTGCTCCAAATTCCACCCTTGACAAATAGCTAAAGTGTGGAAGCAATCCACGTGTCCATCAGTGCAACGGAATAGTGTTCAGACTTAAAAAGGAAGAAAATTCTCACACCTGTTACAACACCGATGGACCTTGAGCACATGATGCTCCATAGAAAGCCAGTCACAAAGGACAAATACTGTGTGCTTCCACTTATACGAGGTCCCTGGAGGAGCCACGTGATGTAGAACGGTAGGAAGAGGAATGGTGGGCGCCAGGGCTGGGACGGGGAGGGGAAGTTGGGATTTAACGGTGACCGGATATCAGTTTTGCAAGAGGAGAAAGTTCTGGAGATGGATGTTAGTGATGGTTGCACAGCAATGAGACTGTAGCTAATACCACTGAACTGTACACTTAAAGATGGTGTTTTCTATTTTATGTGTATTTTACCAGAATTAAGAATAATATTGCAAAAATTTCTAAATTTTAATGATGTAACTGAACTTAAGACTATTAAATAAGGTTCTATGGGCTCACTTGCCCATAGAACGCTCCATTGACCTATTTTAAACTAGTTTTAAGTGAAATTTACTTTAACAAAGAAGAACAGTATGATTACTATAAATGGATAAAAATGTCTGGATAACTGCAAATGTTAGAAAAATTAAAATTAGTTATGCTAAAATTTTGCTTCTCGTTCTGCAAGAAGTGTGGATATCTATGGTCAGTGTTTGGAATCGCAGTGAGGAGCTCAGGAATCCAGCCCCAGACATTTCTGAGGGGCTGGAGGATCATGTCTCTGGGGAGCAAGGGGAGTAGGGGTAGTTGGGGCGCTCAGAGGGGTCCAGATGGGGCAGGAAACACTAGATCTTCACAGGGTGTTTCCATGTGGATGGCCTCCCGTGTTGTTGGTCATTTGTACCTGGAATTGCTCTAGAAGCATCCTGACTCTTCTGGGATCTGAGAAAGACTTGGTTGTGGGACCTCTGGAGGCAGATACATCTCTGAGGAACTTGTGTTGGGGCGACTGGACCCTGTCCCCACTGGACGGTCATCCACAGCAGCAGGGGGAGGCCCGGAAGCTAAGGTGTGTGAGATGGAGGCCCCGGGCAAAGGCCAGTTCACCCAGTAAAACTAGGGCACATCAACCAGAAGGCCTGGGGTTAGGACCACCACAGCTGTGTTCCCACCGCCCCAAAGTGAACTCTCCCCCCTCCCTCCCAACCTCTGTCTCTGTCTCTGTCCCTCTGTCTGTGTCTGTCTCTCTCTCCCCCTTCCCTCTCTCTCTGCAAAGTCTAAGTTGTGAAACAAATACTAGGTTATTTCTTATTGAAGAACTTTCTATTTTAACTTTCCTAAACTCTGGGCACAAGTGCTCGAGGCCATTTCCATTCTTCCAGGGCAGGGATTCCTTCTGCGGCGTGGGCAGGCCACGGATATGAGGGCAGCATAGACGCGGCCGGCCGCTCACAGGACGAGCACCCACACACAGGCCCCATGCGGGCCCCCGGCGGCCTCCAGCCCACAGGCCGGCGTCATTCTGCCTGAAACAGCTGAAGCTTGCCGCCCAAGGTGGCTGTGACAGGCTGCGATGGAAAATAAAACACGTGTGGTTTCGATCACCTTTTATTAACTGAGAAACCTATGGGGAGAGTAAGCTTAAGGGGTACGTTTTCCTTATTGCAATTTTCTAGACCACAGAGCAAAACGCATTAAAAATAGTAAGATCTATATATAGAACAGGTGCTATGCTTACACGTGATTAATCCAAACTGCATTTTGTTGCTATTCTAATATTTGTCACTGCCGAGCTCAGAATCAATCCGTCTACACCGCCCAAAGGGGACAAGGGGTCCTTTCTAAACGTCCCACGGTCCCAAACAACCATGAGAGCTCAGGGACCAGACGCACCACATTGGATCCACGGTCACTGGGACGGGGCCTCCCGTGCAGGGGGCCCGGGACACCGTGGGCCGGGACCCTCCCTGCACCCACTGCTGCCCAGCGGGCACGGGTGGGGCGGCTGGGTCAGGCCCAAGCGCCAGGGTGCCTGGCCAACCCTCCCTCCCACTCGCTCCCCGGGCCGCGTGGTGGGGCGGCTGCGGTGGCACCAGCCCCGCAAGGCACGGGCTGCGTCTCCGGGAGAGAATTCGGGAGAGGCCCGCAAGCCTCCGGCCCCAGGCTTATGGGCGCCGGCTGCCCTCACAGAGCACCGTACACCGGGGGGCTTAACAACACATCTGGAGGCTGAATCCAAGGGCAGGGTGTCAGCTCTGGTGAGGCCACTCCCCGGTCATAGGCTGCGCTCTCGCCATATGCGCACGTGGCCTTTCGCCCCTTGGGCACGTGGAGGGCGCTCTTCCTCTTAGACAGCTGCCAGTCCTAGGGCCGATTCAACTCTTCGTCCAAATACGGCCACTGAGGCGTCAGGCCTTCACCACGTGAACTGGGGGCAGGGAGGTGGCGGGACAACACGGCCCCAGGTGAGCCTGCCTCCCATCCGCTTTCTCGGCCGTAAGGCTGCTTTCCATTCTCCGTCTCCCGACTCCCGTGTCTAACCGGCCTGACCTCAGATGGGGAAATGAGTGCTGTGTACTGACCCGGGACCCCAGCCTGTGCTGACCTGGCCATAACCTTGGTAGGAACTGGGACCCAGACCGTGTGGGGCTGGGTCCCTGCAGAGCCGGCGCCAGGGTCCTGGGCTTCACTAAGGGCGCCACCGGGGACTGG